AATATAAAGTGTTATCTTACTAACTTGTAATTTACTAACTTATTGATATTCATTTCTATTCATTTTTAAATGACATGCACATATATAATATGATCGGAATACGGAACCTATAGAAATGTAATCAAAATTTTTCTGATAATTTTATATGCGTATATCTAATGATCATTTTTGACCGGCAAATAACAATTTGTTAACTTTTTCCTCTATATGTCCAAAAACGCTGAGCCAGCCTTCCCAAAAACTCAACCAATTTTTCATTTAATCAATACAAGTAAAATGTTTTTGAATACATCAAATCGGGCACCCCATTACCTCAAAACTTTACTGAATTACCATTTTGACACTTATTGCCCTGTATCATTTCCAAAAACATATGCATGTCTTCCCAAATACATTCGAATATTTTTTAATCATTTAAATCGGTTGATACGTGGCCTCTGAATTGTCTGCAAAAAATTGTATCCGCGCATACATACATGCAAACATACATACAAACAGTGGCGGATTGACCTTTCTGCCGCCTTAGGCCCTATCTGATCAGGCGCCCTTTTTAATATACAAAATTTTGCTTATATGAGCGATTTAATTCAAATTATTTAGATATAATTTTTGACTTTCCGGAAAATAAGTTATAGTTATCGCTATAGAATCGAAAATGATTTTTTTGCTTATCTTCACGTTTCAACGCCTTCTGAACATTATGACATAATTTGAAATTATATATGTATGTGTGTATGTTCGATTTCCATTAGTACGAGAACGTTTTGATTAGTGCCAACTTGCCAACCTTTCCCAAAAACTAATCAGCTCGTCTCCCTATCAGTAGGAATCAAATACTTCTTGAATCATTCAAATCAGTTGATCCGTGCTCTTGAAATCGCAGACGAAAATTAGTGTTTGAACATACATACAAGTAAATGCATGAACCCGTCTTGACCAAAAACTATACACCACATATTCCCGATAAATAAATCATTTAAATTGGTTGACCCGTCTCTAAATCGTCGACAAAAAATTGTAACCGCATATAAAAACAAAGTTTTTTTTTAATTACTATAATTTACCCATGAAGTGAATGCCAATTGGTAGTCAAAAATGACAAATAGACATAAGCATACCAAATTGTCAGAAATTATAGTTTAGGATTCAGTTTTGTCATATAGAATTTATTTTAAAAAAACATTATATACAAACAAAGAAATGAAGAAAATACCAAAAAATAACAATTAATATATTATGCTAATTTGCCATGGTTCTATTTAATACCGAAAATAAAATAAGAAATCATCGAACAATTTTTAATTTAATTTTTTATAATAAGATTCACCTTACAAACTAACAACCTTAACAAAGTTACAAAAAATTTACAAAGCTTCAATATTTCTCCATAAAAAATCTTATCAATTTTTATTTTAAACATGATTCATTAATAAAAATATTATTGTGGCGCCTTCGAATAATAAGTTTGATTAGAAAATGTATAACATTACATTTCATAGAAAGATATCAGTAAATTTATAAAAACAGACTGAGATTTATTCTTAAAATACATTGCCGAGACAATTTTTCAGGTTTAAAGTTTTTGCATTCTGAAAAATTTGCCGCTTATCCAAATTGTGCCGCCCTAGGCCCAATTTTTCAAAATAATTAATGAATAAATTGGCGTCTGTCACATATTTGGCGCGACCAAAATGTCTCGCAACAAAAATGTAATAAATAACCCATTTGGGGATAACCCATTCAAAGTAAAAAAATAAATATTTGACTGACTAAAATGCTATAAACTAGTATCATATTGCCAGACATTTTTGATTGCCGGACATGTTTAACAACCGCAGAAATGTCTAGCAAATTAATTTTATGTGTTTTTACCCTTAACGAACATAATATTAAAATTTCAGACGGACTAAAATGATTTGAATACAAAAAAATAATAATAAATAATAATAAATAATGGCGCCCGGCACATGTTTAGCAGCGCCCAAAATGTCTGGCAACAATAATGTGAGTCTGGTGAACCGATTCGAAGTCGAACTAGTGGGGTGGGTGGCTTCGTGCCTTAAGGCAAATTGCTGGAACTTCCCGTACCGCAACGAAATGTTCGAGGAATACTGAATGTTTTCAAATAGATTATTATAAATATTGTAACATTGTCTAATATTTATAAGAATTATATAAACTGAATTGCAAAGTTGAAATTATTTGTTTAAAGTATATTAGAACTATAGTCAGAATTAAAAATAAAATCTGAATTATTTTCGATATACAAAAAATTAAAAAAAAAAAATTGAAACAATTTTTTTTTCCAAAATAAATTATTTTGTTAAGACAAGCATAAAGTTCTTTGAATCATTCAAATCGGACGCTTAGTTCTCTCAAAAACTGCCATTTTTTACATATTTAGCTCCGTATCTTTAAAATGGCTGGGCCTGCCTTTGCCAAAAACTAATAAACACTTCTCCCAATCATTACTAATTGAATGTTTTTTAGATCATTCAAATCGGATACTCCGTTCTCTCAAAAAGTCGATTTCTATTTACTGCACTCTTTGCTCCGTATCCCCGAAACGGCTAGACCTACCTTTGCCAAAAACTAATCAGCTCTTTTCCCTATCGATAGGAATCGAATGTTTTTTGAACCATTCAAATCGGTTGATCCGTGCGCCCGAAAACGTGACTGGACATTTGTATCCATACATACATACACACATACATACACACACACACACATCCATTTTTTCTGAGGTATGCCAAAATGTTCAGAAACCTTCAAAACGTCGAGAAATGTAAAAAATTTCAATTCCGATTTTCGGCCCATTACAATAACTTACCCTACGGGAAGTTAAAAATGAAAATTGGTCTGACTAAAATGCTTTCAAATCTTTGAAATCGCGCTGTACAAGTTGGCTGCGCATTAATAACCGCAACCGTACTCTAACCGAGGGAACATCAAGGACCACATACCAAAAAACCAGCCTGACTAAAATTCTTTTGCGAAAACGTTGCTAGTTCTCGGACCATAATACCGTACTGAATTTCAACTCAGTAATGAAACTCTACTTGTATTGTATTGTATTGCGAATAATAGGAGTAATAAGATACCGAACGATATAGTGATAAAAGAAAAGGAGAAAAAGAAAAAGTAGTTCAAAAAGTAGGTTTACTCGCACGGAGCACTAATAATATATTTTGAAAAAGTCAAAATAATTTTGTTCTATTTCATACATTTCTGGAATATTTCAAACATAATTCGTTTTATAGTTTTATCGACAAAATATATTTGTTTATAGAATGAGTAAATATACCTGTAGGCCATAAACCACAATTTCTCAGTGTATCTACTAAACCAGTATTAACATTATAATATGGTTTTTGTGATTTTTTTCCCATAATTAACTTCCCGTAGGCTGTTATTGTAATGGGCCGAAAATCGAAATTGAAAATTTTTACATTTCTCGATATTTTGAAAGTTTCTGAACATCTTGGCATACTTCAGAAAAAATGGATGTGTGTGTGTGTATGTATGTATGGATACAAATTTCCAGTCACGTTTTCGGGCGCACGGATCAACCGATTTGAATGGTTCAAAAAACATTCGATTCTGATTGGGATGATTGGGAGAAGTGTTATTAGTTTTTGGCAAAGGCAGGCCCAACCAATTCCAAGATACGGAGCTAAATATGTAAAAAATGGCAGTTTTTGAGAGAACTAAGCGTCCGATTTAAATGTTTCAAAGAACATTCTGCTTGTGTTAACAAAATAATTGATTTTGGAAAAAAAAAATGTATAATTTTTTTTTTAGTTTTTTTGTATATCGAAAATAATTTAATTAGATTTTATTTTTATTCTGACTAAAGTTCTAATATAGCTTAAACAAATAATTTTTACTTTGCAATTCAGTTTATATAATTCTTATAAATATTAGACAATGTTAAAATATTTATTAAATCTATTTGAAAACATTCAGTATTCCTCGAACATTTCGTTACGGTACGGGAAGTTCCAGCAATTTGCTTTAAGGAACGATGCCATTGAAATATTTTGGCAATTTTGAACTTTTTTTCAACGCAATCGCACTGCTTTAGCTGCATAGAGACGTATTATCGAAGCGCGTAAGCGCCGCGTCGCCGTCTAATGGACATACGACGTTACGGAACCCATAGAAATGTAAACAAAATTGAAACACATTATTAAAATTTTTATAAAATATCTAATAATTTGATGTGCATATGTTTAATGATCATTTTTGACCGCCAAATGGCGATTTTTTTACTTTTTTTACTAGATCTCCGAAACCGCTAGACCTACCTTCCCGAAATTTTAATCAATTTTCATTTTGTCAATACAAGTAAAAACTTTTTTGAATTATTAAAATCGGACGTTTCGTTCTCTTAAAATAAACCGTTAATGGCACTTTTTGCCCCGTATCTTAGGAACTTCTAGACCTGCCTTTGTCAAATACTTATCAGCACGTCTCTTTATCAATACAAATCGAATGTTGTTTAAATTATTGAAATCGGTTGATCCGTGTTCCCGAAATCATCGACGAAAATTTATGCCAAAATGTTCAAACACCTTTGAAACGTAGATATATAAAAATTTTCTTTTTCGATTTTTTTGCGATTACTCTAACTTACCCTATGAAAAAATAGAATTTATTATTGAATTTTACTAATCTTAATAGATGATACAAATTACTAACTCTTTATAGATATTAAATATTATGGACATCTATTAATAGCTATTAACATATATTTGAGTAAAATAATTATGCTAGATTTATTTCTCATCTAATTTTTATTAAAAGTTGTGATATGGAACTCTTGTACATATACGCCGACATTTTTCTTGTAATAACAAATCAAAATTGATATATGTACTTATATCTGTGGAATTCATTTTGCAAAATTAAAAATCAGAAGATACAGTATTTTCGTAACATATATTTCTTATTACTTAAATACATTTTATAATTTAATAAAATTAATGCTAAATATTTATTCACAGACAAGAAACACTACATGCTACTTGATAATTTATAATAAAGTTCTTAGAAAATACGATAGAACAAAATAATCAATACAAATTGTAATCAAAGTATTGTATGTATATTGGTTGGAAAATGGTTTAATTCTTTATTTTTGTGGTTATTTTCTTGTTTGCATTAGAATCCAACATTTTCCGACATGCCTAGTTGTGCGATCGGATCTAAAAATATCGCGTAGTAAACCGAACGGCATTCCATTCCAGCGGCCATCTTGACAATTCATATCAACAAAAACACAAACACTTGTTATAATTAATATACAAAACAATCGATAAATACAGGGCATACAATTAGTTCTTTGTACACTTCTTATTATTTTCAGTGTTCATTAACTTGGTTAAGATTTTCCTAGAGTGTCCGCTCGGGTCGTTGCGATTCGTGTGAACTTCTGACTCCTTTTTCGACCTTTGCTTGCCCCCGTGCCCGCTGAATATCTGCTTGTCGTATTCGTAATTGTAATGCTCGTATTGATCGAAGTGTGCTTCTGACATTATTTTAAACACCTTTTTAACACTTTAAGAAATAAATTGATGCGCAATTTGCGTTCTCTTGTTTTCACTCAATGACAGAGAATGGCGCAACCGCACGGAGTTTTATACTTGATCGAATGCGACGTCACGTGGCGGGGGAGAGAGAGGAATGATCCGAGTGGTTTGGGAGAAAACGAGACGGATGGATTAAGTCTTGCGCGCTTGATAGGAAGAATAAAGTCATGGGCGCACGCGGTGCTGGATTTACAGTAGGGGCAGTCGGGGCTACTGCCCAGGGCGGCAAATTTTCGGGGGCGGCAAAATTTGGATAGTGAGAAAAAAATTCTGTACCATATAATTAACTTATTTTTTTAATAATATTTTTTTTTCAAGAAATATAATTAACAAAACATTATACAAATGCAATGCAAAATTTGGCAATTTGGCTAATATAAAGATTCGTAAATGATTTAAAAGTTTAAGAAAAATATGTTCTTCAGATCTCGAGCCCTCTTAAGATGGCGAATTTATGCTCTTTCAAGCTTATGCACCGAAAAAAATTAAATTAGTGAAGCATGACATTGTGCCTTACAGCAAGTTATTGAAACTTTCCGTACTGAAAATTACATTTTATAAAAAACTTTAAATTTTTTTGAAAAATGATAAAAATTGAATTTCAAAAACCTTTTTACTATATTTCGAAATTTTTTGTTAATTACAAACTTTTATGTATTAAATTTATTAAAATTAAATTGCTGATTAGTTATTGGCCAAGGCAGGTTCAACTGTTACGGGCCAAAATCCCAAAAATAATAATTCAGTTTTTGAGAAACGAAACGCTCAATATCATTAAAAGAAATTTACATGTATAGACAAAATGGAGAGCTGATTAAATTTGTGGGAGGCAGGTCTACCGGTTTCGAATATGCAATGAAAAAAATTGAAAAAGAAACATTTGGCGGTCAAAAGTGATCATTAAACATATGCACATCAAATTATCATATATTTTAATAATAAGTATAAAATTTGTTTACATTTTACTATGGGTTCTGTATCATTATTTATCCGTGGCGACGCTTACGCGCTTCTTTATTTTGTCTCTACGTAGCTAAAACAGGGCGATCGCTTTAAAAAAAGTTCTTTCTTTTTTAATTTTAATTTTTAGTACGTTAAGTTTCAGCAATTTGCCTCAAGGCACAATGCCAAGCACCACTACTTATAGTATGTAATGCGTAATACATTTTCTGCAATCAAATAGTTATTTTAATTTTAGAAAAATGATATATAAAAACTATTTTAAGTAAAAATTCAGGGATGGGGCGGCATTTTTATCAGTGCCCCAGGGCGCCAAATTTCTAAATCCGGCGCACGGTTATTATTTTTTCTGCGACAAGCTAAGATTGAGAAGTTTATAAGAAAATTTTAAAAATCAAATTTGCGTTGGAATTCCAAAAAATATTTCTTCAATTTATTGATGACGTGGCATTTTAACTTAGGCAGGTTGCTTTTACTTCTCGTATGTGTATAATAATCGATTTTTCAATAATAATTGAGATTTAGCTATTTTTTACAATTTTACGATAGAATTTTTAAATTGAATTTTTGTTTATTACGAAATCAAAGTTTTCGCTTTTTATTAAAAGTTAATAAATGCGATTTCCAATTGATATAATAAGTTGTTTATAATGTCTGTAATCATATGAAAGAAATTTATAACAGATAAAAATGTTAAGTAGTAAAATTGCAGCAGTTTTCAAATCATCGCAGCCGTTTTTAAAAAAATGTTGACAAAAGAACAAATATTGCTCAAATACTTGTTTCAATTTCGGTAACAAATAATTCCGAATGACTTGACACATCGAGATACAATATATAAAATTAGCAAATAGAATTTTTTGGAAAAACAAATGTTTATATTTTAACCAGTACGTTTTTATTTTTAAATGTTTAATTTTTTTCGCATTTTAAGATTTATAAAAAAACTGATAAAAATAAGAATTTGATGACAGTTCTAAGCAGTTTAATTCAATGTATAATTAAATCAGTGGTGTCTGTTTTCCTCTTGATAGAGTAGATAGGTTTTCTAGCAAAGTGGCTTTTTCATATGTACAAGAAAATCATAGAAATACGTTGTTAATGTAAGAACTTTGGGTAGTTTCTTTTTGTTTTAATATTACTGATTTTTCAAATTCAGAACTATAGTTCTTCTTTTTCTTTCAGCGAGTTGCTTTTTAAAAATTACAGAAAATCCCAAAAATAAGGTTAATATTGGCTTCTTCAGTAGATTATATTCAATTTAATAATAAATTGGCATTTAATTAATTACCACTTTTTCCTATCATTAGAAATTGAATATTCTTTGAATCATTCTAATAGCATGCTCTGTTCTCTCAAAAACTTAATTTCCAATTCCTGCACTCTTTGCTCCATATCTCCGAAACGGATGGACCGACTTTTGCCCAAAAGTAAATAGCACATCTTCTTATCAATAGGAAGGAATGCTTTTTGAATATCTTAAATCGGTTGATCCTTTAGCATTTTTAAATAAATGTTTGCGAATATGAGCATTTTTTAATTGCTATATATATATTATTCTATTTCTCAGCGAGCCGCTGTTTAAGATTTACAAAAAAAACATTGAAAAATAAATAATATATTACAATTATAAGTGGGATATCTAAATGAATATAAATTTTATGGTTTTTTTTCTTCATAGTGTTTTAATAAATAAATATATGTTAAATATTACATTATTATCCTACAAAATCGCTTATCGTAAAGTGAAAATTTGTTTAGATTTATAATGAGTCAAATACAAAAGAATTTAAAAAAAAAATGAGTTGACTAATGTGCTTAATATTAAGCGTAAATTGGTTTTCAGATAAGCAACTTCCATTTTCTTATAACTTTTAATTATGAGATAAGATAATTTGTTTAGATTACACATTATGTTAAATATATAATTTTTTAAATGAATAGTTTAAGTGACATTGCAAAGAAATGTTCATGGTCGACCATTGACTTGTTTTCTTTTGGGATAACTTTTTCTTTCATCTTACTATATATTAATTGTGAGATAAGATTCTATATATCCTTCCTATTTTAATAACCACATTAAGAAGTTTTACTTCTACCGCGTGGACGGATTCCACGTACTATTATTACTAATACTATTATCTTCTTATTGTTCTAATCCAAAAATGGACAATTTGATTCACGGTCGCATATATTTTCATTTTGAATGAAAACCGATAATTAAATTGATTCCTTATCATATTTGTAATGCGCATAAACATTCGAAATGCTGAATCGATTATTATTTCGCTTATGGAACGAAATACAATCTTTGTAACCAGAATTATCGAATATGATGATTCAAATGTTGTTTTTTAAAAAACGGAAATATACGTGTTATTCTAATGATAAACTTTTAAGATAGAGATAAACGTAAATAAATATTTGTTTGTTTATAAAGTTTGTTACATTGTTTATTTGAATGCTGACGTTTCAGAATTTATAAATGCGAACTCAGCCAGTGTATACGTATATATATATATATATATATATATCTATATATAAATAAACCTCGTGTCACGATGTTGGTTCGCGATGAACGCCCAAACTACTGAACCGATTTTAAATTTTATTGGCTCATCGTGTGCATATATATCCAACTTAGGTTATAGGAAATTTTCAAAAGTAAATTTAGAATATAAATATGTAATTTTTATCAATTTCCATAATTTTTTACAGATATTTACTAAAAAAACACTAAAATAAATGTCAATATTTATGGAAAATTCGAGAAAAAAGATTTATGATTTTTGAAAAAAAATATTTGACAGTTCAAAAAATATAATTCAAAAACATGTATAGATATATCCAACATTTATATCCAAATTAGAAAAAATGCTATACTTAAAATCAATGTTTATAGTTTTAAATCTAATTAAAAATCAATGTTTATAAATTTAAATAAATGTTCACATGATAAAAGTGAAATGTCATTTGTCAATATTTATAAAAATTATTAGATAATTAAATTTATAATTTATATTTATTTGATTTGCTTACCTTATTAGTTCGGATACCAAAACTTCCTCAAAACATTATAGATCACAATGGAAAAGCGACATATTGAATTTAACATTAAAAATAAACAAAATTTTGCCAGTTAAAAAAAAAAGAATTTTTAACGACTTCAATAAGAAACAAATACATGAATTATTTCAAGTTATGTTATAGGCAATATTGCCAATCAAATTATAGATACAAAACATTATTGAAAAATAAATTATATCATATCATATTAAATTTCGACCAAGAAGGAAATATTTTGGCATTTATAAACTTAGTGCATATTGGATATATGAAATTGGCATTCACTATTTTTAAATTAAATGCAATGTATATGCATTTTGGTGTGAAAAGTAATTTTAAAAATAATAGTTATTGTTTTTAGGTAAACGGTAAATATCAGTATATGTAGAATATTAAAAAATTGTAGACGTGTGTACAGGGCAACATGTTGGGTCATCTAGTATATATATATATATATATATATATATATATGTATGTGTGTGTGTGTTGTGCGTGTATGCGTGTATATACATATACCATATACCTATACATATAATACATGTGTGTATATATAATTAAATATATAAAGTCGCAATACAGGTTTATCTTATCTTGTTAGTGTTCAAGGTTATGTTTGTTTATTTACTTGCGCGAGTGCTAATTTCACAAAACGCAGTGGCGGCACTTTAACGCGCAAACGAACATTTTTTTTATTATTAAAGTTAATTATACACAAAATGCTATTATATGATATACTTATTTAAAATGTTATTTAACGCAACTTCCCGTAGGGTGATCTGTAGTAAAAAGAAAAAATCGAGAAGAAAAATTGTTGCATATCTTCAAGTTTCAAAGGTCTCTGGACAACAATTCCTTGAAAATCTATTAGTTTATCTTAATGTTATTTGTTTCGCTGCCGACAATGAAGAGAATATATTATACATAGAGTTTCATATATATAAAAATTGCGGATATATGAGATGATGGCAGAAAACATCATTACCAATAACACTAATAATAATGGCGGGATATCACAACATATCATTACATGTGACAAAACAAATTTGTCCACTTCAAATAGATTTCTTATGATTATAGCTCAAATACTATACGCCACCAAGTTCTAACAAGTCATTGATATTACTCCAAGTCCAGTTCCAAAATCTGGAAAGAAATATAATGCTCGGCCTAGTATATCAAAACATTGTTTGATGGCTGCTAAACAGGATGACGGACTTCGAGCTTCATACAATAGCCTTCTGTTAATTGTTCAAACAGGTAAACCGCACACCATTAAAAAATCGTTAATTTTGCCAACGATAAAATAAGTTATAACTACTGTGCCACATAAACCAGCGGCAGATAATATATTGAAATTCATTTGAGCAATAGCTCTGTGCAAAGACAAATAAATGAAATGGCTGGAAAAATAGAAGAATCATTGAGCAATCATTTAAAGTCTTGATAATTTTTACACCAATTGGATTATTCCACATAACCAACTGCTGAAACATTGTTCTTGTCTTACGTGAGGTTCATTAAAGATGAAAAAGTATGTATACATGTTAGAAATTTAGAGAAAGACACGAAAGGAAAAACCATATTTAAAATACTGGAAAAGTTCTTTGATGAGAAAGATATTGCCTTGAAGAATATTATATCGGTTGCTACAGATGGTACTCCGGCTATGAGGGGCGAAGGAAAATTAATATACTACTTGAATAAAATTCCTAATATTCTTGCTGTGCATTGCGGGATGCAGCATTTAGTTCCCAGAAATGTAATTGAACGATTGTATAAAGCATTGCAACATGTCATCAGAGCAGTTAATAGAATCGGTAACAACTCTTTAAATGATAGATTGTTCAATCAGGCTTGTACTGCTGATTATGAAGTCAAAAGGAAATTGTATCACCCATTTTTACTCTGTTGTAGGGTTGTTACGGATCACATCGAAAAATAATCTATCATATCTCACAACCCTTTAAACATTGTGTAATAATATGAATCTCCAACTTCAAGGCGATGGTTTGAACTTGATAAAAACAAAAAAAACGTCATCGCTGCTTTTGAAGCCAATATGCGGTTATAAAAAAAGAATATCGAAAGACGGGATTTTCATAATTTTCCATATTTGAAAAATCTTCATAGTAATTTTGTTGAAAAATTTCAGGATATTTTAAATTTGGAAATACCAGGCTGGGTGTTAGACCCATTTTCAAATGCAATCACATGCAAAGAAATATTAACCCAGCTAGAAGAGGAACTTATAGAATCAACAACAATCGACGAAATAAAAATTTAAAAATTGTTATCGATAATTTTGGCTACAAAAGTCAATTTACAGTTGTACCCTGGCAAGTAATCGCTTGTTTAAAATTAATAACTAGCATTTCTATAATATTCGTGTGAACGTGGATTTAGCGCTGTGACAGACAATGCTATAAGTAAAAACGGAATTGAGTGCATTAAAAACGGAAATCAATTGCAAATTACCAAACGCGGTGATATCAATAAACTTGTTAAAAACTGTTAAAATTCATTCATTTCATTATAGTTTAAAAACTAAATTTTATTACATGTACACTGTTTCATGTAGCCTTATATTAACTCTCACTAATATATAAGGTTGTCAAATATCTCCCTTCCGCTTTTTTGCTCTTTATTCAAAAGACAAAAAGGCGGAAGGGAGATATTTGATATAAATATCTCCCTCCAATAATTATCTAATTTGGAATGTAAGGTTACAACAACTATTATAGCACACTATGACTATTATTAAAATTATAAAAAAGTTTTATAGAAATTGAATAAAAAATTTGGTAGGGAGGCGGTACAAAAATTTTGATCTTTAAAGGGAGCGTTGGAAGAAATAAGTTTGAGCACGCTTACGGTTACCGAAGAAATATATTATATTATTATGATAAATATATAATATTTATCAATTCAAAACCAATATTTAAACAGTTTTCCCATAGCCGTGATCGTCTAAGTCACTCGTCTAGTCAAAGGATAAACATTGGTACAAAACGGATAGAAATATGAACAAAAGTTCTACTTATTATTGAATTCTCTAAAAAATGTCTGATAATTTTATGTGCTTATGTTTAATAAATGATCTATTTTCATCGCCAGTTAGCATTTTTTTTACTTTTTTCATCGGATCTCCGAAACCGCTTAACCCGCCTTTTAAAAAATTAAACGGCTCTTCATTTCGTCTATACTAATAAAATGTTTTTTAAATCATTCTAGTGTTGATCAGAGTTGCAAAATCGTCGACCAAAAATTGTATCCGATCATACACACATCATTAATTTTTTAAGGCATGCGAAAATGTTCAGAAGGAATTCAAACGTATTTTATTTTTCGATTTTCGATTTATTTGCGATCTTTATAATTTACTCTACGGAAAGTTAAAAAGTCATTATTACATCTCTCCCTCAATACTATTCGAATGTTTCTGAATCATTCGAATCGGTTGATTTGTGCTCTAAGAATACATGCATACATACTACATACAAACATGTTTTTACATCAATTTTTTCTAATAAAACTCTTCTGAAGCTTTTTGAAGTTTTTCAAATTTACCCAACGAGAAACTTGAAATTGCCCATTACAACCTAATGCGCTCGTCTGAATATTAAAAATATTTGAGGTGGGGTCTTTGATTCTAAATGATAATTTATTAATGAAATGGCGTAATGTAATTCGTAATTAATATTTAAGGTAACAAAATGTAAACGATATTTTTTTGTAAACGTACGATTTTTATAAATAGAGTCTACAGTATAAAAAGTACTGAAAACCACTTCTCTGAAAATTACAAAATATAATAATATATATAGTCTATATCAGGGCTTCTTAAAGTGTGGGTCGCGACCCCCAGGGGGTAATCATTGTAAACAAAATTTTAAAGTTAGTATTATCAGGCCGATTATTTTCACGATAATTTATGGCTTCTCAAGCTATGCTATTTGGCCGATATTTTTTATAAAATCAATGATATGAATTTATCAATGCAGGGAGTCTGCGTTAATATGTTTATGTTTAAAAACAAACTTGAGGCCTTTGTTAAAATAATTCTTATATGGAAAAACAGAGTGGAAGATGGATCGTTCGAAATGTTTCCATTTACCAAAGAGTATATAAATAATAACAATATTTCAAAAAAAGATTCTCCTATAACAAAAATTATTATAGTTAATCATTTCCCAATTATATCGATACATAATAATGTATTTGCAATCCATTTTCAATTGAAATGGAAGATTAATTTTATAAACTTAAAAGCACAAGAAGAATTTGCCGAATTAACAAGTGATACTACCTTGCAACTCAGATTTTTTCAAGTGCCTGTGCATGAATTTTAGATAGAAATCAAATCATAATATCCCCTACTATCAGAAATAGCAATACACAAATTACTACCATTTTGTGCAGCATAATTATGTGTTTCAGCCTTTTCCACATTAACTTACATAAAATCAAAATACCGTTCAACTTTAATAAACGTTGAAAATTTATTACGATCTGCACTAACTTAAATTAAGCCTAGATTTAATTATTTGTGTAAAAATAAACAATCACATCCGTCACTTTAACATATTGTTTCATGTTAATAATATGTTTTCATTAAAAAAATGTTACAAAAGTTTATTTTTTCTATTGATTATATAGTTATAGTTTTATGTTTTCTTATAAAGAAATTGTTCCAAAAGTTTATTTTTTCCGTTGAATATATATATATATATATATATATATATATATATATATATATAATATAGTTTTATATCATCGTTTCCAATTATATATATATATATATATATATATATATATATATATGACATGAATAGGTACATATTCTTTAATCCTTATTTTATTTACATTGTAAAATAGTGCGATATTACATCTACATCTACGGATAAAATATATGTTATTATATGGAGTAGGGGGTCGTTTAAAATTTCCTAAGCTTGAAGGGGGTCGCTATATAAAAAAGTTTAAGAAGCCCTGGTCTATATCATTACCCACCTGCCTATCTCCGAGCAAGGAGGCCCGTCAGTGCAGACGGCCGCCTTCCGGAAGGCATGCAGCACGCTCGGTGACGACGGCAACTGTTGCATCGGGTCTGGCGGAACCAGCGGCTGGTTGGGGTCGTTGTTGCTAAGGTCGTCTTCAGTCAGTGGCCGAGTGACAGTGCCTGGAATAGATGTAAATATAATTATCTATTTAACTTTCCGTTAAATCGCAGACATATGCACATCAAATAATCAGATACTTGATAAAATTTTTAAAAATGAGTACTATTTAACTTTCCGTAGGGTAAGTTATTGTAATCGTCCAAAAATCGAAATTGAAAATTATTACATTCCTCGACGTTTTGAAGGTTTCTGAACATTTTAGCATACCTCAGAAAAAATGGATATGTGTGTGTGTTTTGTGTGTTCGCATTTTTTCGTTCACGTTTTCGGGCGCACGGATCAACCGATTTGAATGATTCAGAAAGCATTCGATTCCTATTGATAGAGAGATGTGCTGATTAGTTTTTGACAAAGGCAGGTCCCGCTATTACGGAGATAAAGAGCAAAGAGTGCAAAAATACAAATCGAGTTTTTTGAGAGAACGGAGCATCCGATTTGAATGATCTAAAAAACATTCAATTGGCAATGATTGGGAGAAGTGGTTATAAGTTTTTGGCAAAGGCAGTGCCAAAAACTGGAAGATACAGAGCTAATTGTACAAAAAATTTCAGTTTTTGAGAAAACTAAAAATCCGATTTGAATGATTCAAAAAACTTTCTGCTTATTATGACAAAACGATTGCTTTTAGAAGAAAAAATGTCATTTTTTTTTTGTATATTGAAAATAATTCAGATTTCAATTTTAATTTTGGCTAAAGTTTTAAAGCTCACTTATATACTATAAATAAATAACTTTAACTTTATAATTCAGTTTATATAATTCTTATAAATAAATATTAGACAAATGTTACAGTATTTATAATAATCTATTTGAAAACACTTAATATTCCTCGAACATTTCGTTACGATACGGAAAGTTCCAGCAATTTGCCTTAAAGCACGATGCCATGCGCCCCACTAGTTTTTTTACATTTGTAGCTTCCCGTAGGGTAGTTATAGTAATGGGCCGAAAATCGAAAATAAAAATGTTTGTATTTCTCGACGTTTTGAAGGTTTCTGAACATTTTGGCATACCTCAGAAAAAATGCATGTGTGTGTGTGCGTTTTATTTGTCCGCATATTTTCGTCGACGTTTTCAGGCGCACGGATCAACCGATTTCAATGGTTCAAAAAACATTCGACTCCTATTGATAGGGAGATGTGCTGATTAGTTTTTAGCAAAGGCAAGTCCAGCCGGTACGGAGATTCGGAGCAAAGAGTACAAAAAATATAAATCGAGTTTTTGAGAGAATGGAGTATCCGATTTGAATGATCTAAAAAAACATTCATTTTATAATGATTGAGAGAAGAGGTGATTAGTTTTTAGCAAATGCACGTCTAGCCATTTCGAAGATACAGAGCTAAATATGCAAAAAATGGCAGTTTGTGAGAGAACTAAGTGTCCGATTTGAATTATTCAAAAAACTTTCTGCTTGTTTCAACAAAATAATTGCTTTTGGAAAAAAAAGTTGACTCTAATTTTTTTTTTCAATTTTTTTTCAAGAATTTTTTTTTGTATATCGAAAATAATTCAGATTTTAATTTTAATTCTGTTCTAATAAACTTTAAACAAATCATTTCAACTTTGCAATTCAGTTTATATAATTCTTTTAAATATTAGACAATGTTACAATATTTATAAAATTCTATCTGAAAACATTCAATATTCCTCGATCGTGTCGCTACGGTACAGAAAGTTCCAGCAATTTTCCTTAAGGCACGATGCCACACACCACCAGTTTATTTATTTGTTTAAGGGGGTCTTCCTATGTGATGGGTTGAAAAAATCAATTTTTTTTTTCATAAATTGCTCCCTTGTGTCTAGAATACGGTAGTAAAGCGATTTTAGAAAATTCTAAGTCGTTTTAAAGATACAGCAGGTAAAAGAAATAGCGGTTCGGAGCGCTGAGTTGGCAGTCAGAGCCCGGGCCTATTGTGTACCGTCGGCTTTATACTAGGCCTCCCTTTTATTCATATATCCGTTTATACAAAGTTTGTTTAGGAGCAGAGACACAAAACAATAAAGAATCTTTGAATTCTTTGATTTGGACTTTCGCTCCTAAACATCTTCATTCTCGTTCCAAAATTGTTGAAATTGCTAGCTACTTAGCAGTTATTATCTTTAATGAAGGTTTTCAAGGTATTTTAAAAGTTATGTCGATTATGGGATGCCCTGTTGGTCGTGAAGCTCAAGCGTATGTTGAGAATCGGGATGAAAAGCGAATCTTACGTTCTGAGCGGCGCGTAAGTGATGTCGTTAAACAAGCCAGGATTGACTCAAGAGCTGAACAATCTGCTTCAAAAGAGTTTCACGAGGAAGATGAAGGAATACTCTATGGACCAGGCATAGCGGATTGAGAGTAATTTGATATTTTAATAGTTTTTAACGGACTTGAAACTTTAAACGCGTTTTTCTCAAAACTGTGTTTTTCAAAATTACCTCCATTGTATCTCAGAAACGGCTGGACCGAATTACTTGAAATTTACAGGGCACACTCAATATATTTCGATTTTTTTATAGCAAAAAACAAAAAACAAAAAACAAAACCGCCTAATTTGCAACTTTTATTTCAAATGTCTATCAAAAATCCAATTTTTTATATTCCGATAAGCCGATCAGCCGGAATCGTGGAGGAAGTGGGAGCTCTTTTTTTCGAGGCGGGGGTGTTCAGAGCGCTGTAACTCTAGTTTGACTGAATATTTTTAGCTGAAATTTTATATTTATACTGTCCAAATATGTGTTAATAAATGATAAAAAACCTGAAGCTCTAAATATTTACTGGTCGTAGAAAAAAAATCCTAAAATATCCCTAAACAACAGGCCGTAACATAGGAAGACCCCCTTAATGCCAATTGGCTCTATGGAGTTAATTATACAGTAATGTAATGTAACATAATAATGTGATCATACCTTGTTTATACAAACGTATACAAACACACGATAGTGATGGACGTTGAATTAACAAACGATTATTTTCAACCGTTTCTTCCTCGTTAACGAATTAACCATTTCGTCGCAACGAACTACTAGTTGAAAAGGACTGGTTTTGCAATGAGTTAAAAACAAGGTGATCAGTTACATTTCAATGAAATGCGAACTCCTCATCTAGAAACATAACTCTCATTACTGCGCATTTTTTAACATTTAACTTAAGTTTATTGGTTATATACCAGTTATTTAATTGGGCGATGTCTTACTGTACAGATATTGTATAATTATCACATTTTATGGTTTTGTAGATTTTTAGTTCTTTTGTTTATAGAAGGTTATCTGAATTAAAGTCAGTGCCTATGCCATTAATGAAAATATTGAATAATAATGTTCCCAAGTGTGATCCTTGCGGTATACCAGATATCGCTTGTATGTTTTCAGATAAATGGCCATCTGGTGAGACTCTGTAGTTTCCCGCCAGTTAAGTAAGATCTGAACAAATCTAAAATTTTGCCCTTAACTCTATACCGCTGTAGCTTCTTCAACAGAATATTGTGATCGACATGACGGAACGATTTACGGAGTTTGTTGCGAAAATAGCGTTCTTCTTGAATATAACACTCAAACGCAAAGCTAAATCGATGCTTTAGGCGCTAGGCAAACGCCTACTGTTTCTAACTCGATTGTAGTAATTGTTTTCGTCAGTATTCAAAATATTCTCCACATTTTACTCAAATTGTGAGAAAGTGAACATTCGCTTAATTTCGTTGTTTTAAGAAAACGAAAGATCAGCAGGTTTTTAATTTCACAGAATTAGAGACTTGTTAAAGGTCTGATGCGCATTAAGATAAGTTCTTCTAGATATTATGACAGTTAAAAAACAATGCAATAAAAAAGTCAGATTAAAGTCAACTAGATGACTTTAATCAATGTAGCAAACGTTTCGTCTAATTCGACTCATCATAAGTGCTATACATACAAATTATTTAAACACAAAACACACTTTTTTATAACATTTATCTGTGCTTTTAATAATTGTCTTTTGTTCTTGTTTGTAAGATTGTAGATTTTATATTCAACTATTGAACTAATGATAACTCGAATAACTCAAAGAATCGAAACATATACTACATTAATCACACTTTCTAATCAATAGGTTATGTGGCTACACAACTAAAATATCTGCTTAAAAACTTTTCAACACAATTTTAAAATAGTATTTTTAAAATAAATTTAGTATTTTTGAAAATATTTTATATGAAAATTTGCTAAAATATTTGTACGCAATTGTTCGTTAAACTTTTAATTCATGCAAAACAAATCAATACAAGTAAATACAATTTAGAATCCGAAAATCAATTGATAAGGAAAAGCTCGACCAATTCAACACAAAGTTAATCAAACAGGTTATTCTTAAATTTATATATAATCACAAATCTTCTCCAATTTTTATATCAAACGATTCATAGTTTTGAATTTTGAACTTTTATAAAACAAAAAACAAGTAATTACTTTGCTTACTAGCATCAAAATTACCTTCAGAATGTTTCTGAGCAAAGTGGATAATGGCCAGGAAGACTCCGACCAGTAGTAGAGCTATTGCCAAATATAAGTAACGTTTCTGAAACCGAGGCCTGGAATAAATAATGATAATGGATTAGTACCAAATATTAATAATTAATTAGGTGTTCTCTTATATTATTATTTGCTTATTGTAATAAGAAATCATTATTTCGATTTCATCGTCTGTCAAATTTAAATTATCTTTAAAAAATTACGTAAAGAGCCAAATACTAGATAATATATAGCTATGTTATATTACTGATCTTTCATGGGAACAAGATCTATCTCAAATAAGTATATGGTGAAGACTCAGTTGAACTATTTCATTCGGTACGGAGTACAGTGATTTTGGATGCTGGTTTTGCTCTCAATGCATTTGTAAACTCGTTGTTTTAGCGATAGCTATACTAATTTGATAATTTTGAGTTGGCTCGACGATTTATTATGAATAGTTTGACACGACGATCTATTATGAATAGTTTGACACGAAAATAGGAATAATTATGTATGTGTGAGCGTTTGCATATGAGTTAAATCTGTAGTTGAGCCATACCGATTAGTTTTTAATAAAGTTAAACAAATTAATAATTAATACAGTTCGAAAAATTATAAGTCTGGTTGAAGATCATCACAATTGGGAGTCGTTTAGTTTTTAGTAAAAGCAGAACTTTTATTTTGAAAGAATAACGTTTGATGATTTTATCTGATTTCAATTTTTATCAATTCTCATTAGGTCGATAATTTGAGAATTGTGGAAAGTTTTTGAAATTCTCTTAAGACAAAATGTTAGAATTAATATATATTTTTAAACTTTTTTTTATAATTTATCCATCAGGTGATATTAATTAATAATGAACGCAATTGATGTTTTTCTTATTAATTACGTGCGTTAAAATTTAAGTTTATCATTTGTCATTTTGTTAGTTCAAACTTGTTATTATCTATATTTTGCATTATAAATAAAAATATTTAATGGAATAACTTGATAGAAATATCAAGTTATTCATGTTCAAAATTATTTCTATTTTGGCAGAAAAAATTCCACTTTTATGTAAGACGTTATTCGCGTTATGTAACCATGAGTATTGACGTTATTCGATAACTTGAAAACGTAGCATAAATGAAGCAGTGACTTATTAACTGGTTAATAAAATTAGAGAACAAGTTTATTGCAGTTTAAATCAATTATCTTACCACAAGCTTACTAAAATATAAGCGAGTTCGAACCAAAAAAGTCATGACAAATATTATTTTTTCATTTCAAATGCATTTATTGTTTTCCTTAATTGATTTGGACAGATTGATCTCAAAGTAAGCAATTAGTAAGATAAAAAAGCAAATTTATTCGATAACAAATCTATAATTTTTAAAGAAAAAAAAATCAATGTATTTATGTGTTCCGGATACACTGACAACTCTATTGAAAGTTCCAAACCTAAATATCGGAATGAAAATTTGCAGTAAATAAAAATAATAATCCAAACTAAACAAACTAAATACATGATTTACTTTTCATCGCTTTTATTAAAACTTTATTGTATTTTTTTAGAAAAGATAGTGATTTAGTGGTTATTTTAGCAAACAAATAATTCAACGTGGCGGAACTTCATGACCTTCATGAATTATATGCTGCCAGTACACATTTATTTTTTTATTACTTAGAAATATTTTTGTCACGTGCATAATTTTATTCTAAGTGATTCATTTTTAAATAAATAAAATTGTTTTAATAAAATATATTATACCTCAGAACCACAACTGATTTTCATCAACGATGACATTTTTGTTTCAATGCCCAATTTGATTGATAAATATCATAGTTTATGAAACTCTCCACAGGTGAAGTAATTGTGTTCTAATATAAACTAAAATTTGATAAAATTGTGCGACAAATTAATTTTTAAAATCGAAAGAACCAAGACGAATAAATAATAAAATGTCTAAACTGACAATTCTGACGTTAGCCTGCTGGGAAAGGATAATTTTTGTCACTAGTTTGATGAAGTTAGTACCGCGTTGTTATTGATGCTAGTTTCTGGAATGTACAAAACGATAGTACTGATATTTGTTATTAGTAAATTCTACTGTTAATCAAAATAGTGGTGTAATGCCTAATGCTCCTAACGCTATTAATATGTATATTGTTTAGTACAGCGCTATTGCTGAATTGCTGAAATGTCCAAAGCGATAATACAAATAATTCTCACTAATTAATTTTGAAGGGAATCAAACTAGTGGTGTATTGCCTAATATCTCATGGAACAAAAAAATTCAAATAGTGATGTATAATTTTAATCCAAAATAACAATGCTGATATTTGTGTTATTTGAATTTTGACTAAAATTAAACTTGTTGTATCTTAAAAACAGGTCTTTCAGTTGGAATATGCAGCTAGTCGTGCATGATATTTGTCAAAAGCTAAAATGACAATACTGATATCTGTTGCTAATTAATTTTGATGAAAATTAAACTAGTGGATATGATCTAAGGTTTCTAAAATCAGGTTGTCTGCAGCAGAAAGGTGTAGCTAATAGTGATATTATGCTAAATTGAAATATTGGTGTACTTATCAGCAGTGGTGTTGTCGAGCCAGAACGCGCCGGAACGTCGTTCCGGCAAATCATTTTTGGGGAAGAACGCGTTCCGGCAAAAAAAAATATTAAAAAATCGCTACATACAGAAATGATTTATTAAGTAAATTTTATAAATTATTATTCAACTAATTTTTATTAAATATTCTTATTATTGTAATAAACATACATATATGTGCACACAATGGGTTTTGTAATATTTTTGTTTCTTTCCTTTTCTAACGGAACCGGAAAAAACATGAGAACCGGTTTATGAACCAGTTTTTAAATTTTAGCTTTCCGACAAAAAAATATTAGCACAACACCCTTGGTTTTATAAAAGTCGTTTTTAATTTAGTTACAAATTGAGGTGTATGAACTGAAATATTAATTACAATACAGTAGTGTATTTCAAATTTCACATATGTTACTTTAAGACCGAAAAGTGTCTGATGCCCGATTATTTCGGATATAAGTTGGACTTGTTTCGGACATAGCGGGCGTTAGTCGAATAAAATAAATAATTTAAGACATTCATATAATGGAAATTGATTGATTGACATAAGAACTGCAAAAAATGTAATATTTTAATAATTGGATGAATTTTTTGCCATCTAAGGCAAAAATATAAGCTGTTCGATCGCTTGTAAATTTTAACAATCCAACATTTATTGGTAATTTTTTTTAATCATTGTTTTATTGATATTTATTTATTGGTAAATTAGTTGACAATTTATAGCAAAAGAGTTACCCTGATATTTCAATAGACTTGTATTAGTCTGTATATTTATAAATTGCCATCCCTTCCAGACAGCGGTATAATAAATTTTATATCATATTTTTAAATTTAGAATTTTCAGAATTCAGTAAGTTGCGAGACTAAGAACATCTTAAGAAAATCAGCTCGCACAAGTTACTCAAACATTTAATAAAATTTATAGTTTTATGTCTATTGTCGCACAGTGCACGCAATCGTTTAAAATTAATAATTAATTTTCTATGAAGTGATAACGGCAAAGGCAGCAGTAAGGTGTAATCGATGCCTTAACGGATATTTTGGATATTTTAGATATTTAATACCGAGATAAAAATTCTTATAGAAAAAATAATATTTATAAATTAAATCTTATAAGAAAATTAATTCTATACTACACGCCTTACATCTATACCATACGCTATATTTCATCACATACTCTAAAAATCCCTACATTGTATACCAAATACACCTAACCTTTATCTACTATATATCTAGCTATACATTTTTTTTACACGCTACATTAACCCTACCGAGAACCTTAACCACTAGACCACCGTAACGCTACAATCAACCGTCTTTTTTCGCGTGTCGTCGCGCTACCTTAGTATTAATTACCCGCGGAAACAACAGTGCATCCCATATTATATTATTAATGAGGGTACCCGATATGGTAGTGGTTAAGGTGCGCAACCGCCACGCGGATGTCCCGGGTTCAATTCCCGGTATAGCCAATAGATAGGTAGAGATAATACATAGGCCGTAAGGTAAACCTATGTAATATAGGTAAGTATATAAATTAGACAGTAATATTTATAAGAAGTAAAAAGTATGTAGGTATATAATAAGTTAATGACGGTATATAGGTATCGGTAATAATATACTATAGTAAGATAGGCAATAGGTTATCTATCATATTATTAGGTTAAGTCTTATAAAGTATTGTAATAAATTTAGAGTACTTTTATATCATAATAAATACCTGTAAGTATTAATGAATACAAATAATACTACAATACATATAATTAATGTTATTAAAGAATATAAATTATGTACTCAATGATTCCCTCATACTTGTACAATTTAATGTATAGACTAGCTGTATATAATAGAGTTAATTATATAAGAAGTCAATATATTAGATTTGTGAGTTCTTATCGAAATATATAAATTTTCTTGAACCGGTTTATGAACCGGATTTTAAATTTTAGCGTTCCGGCATAAAAAATATTAGCACAACACCACTGCTTATCAGGATATGTTATTATAAGAAACTTTAAAAACACATATCTGTACTACTCCAAAAAATAGAACTTTATTAAATGACTAACACGATTTAATAAAGAAAATGGAAAAAAAACTTACCGACGAGCGAACTGAAACACAACCCTTTAAATTGAAATGGAACTACATAGGCAAACAAACTCGAAATAAAAAAATTAAACGAACGGAAGTGATTTAAAAATGCAAAAAAATGAAAGTAAACTCTACTTTCTCGCAAATACGATTTATAAAAGAAAAGAAGAAAATCATACATTCAAGATAATTTAATCTGGGTTTGATAAAGTTGCTAAAATAAGATTTATCATTTTCAATTTCGCGTATTATTCTCTATGGATCGGAGATATGGATTCTAAAAAAACAAAATGGTTTATTTAGAAATTTTGGAATATAGACTGAGATTAGGAAAAAGAGATCCGCTCTCTCTTTCGAGATTTAAGAAATAACAGATTATTCTGGCGAAAAA